GCGCAAGAATAGCTAGTTTTAGTAATGCAAAGTTATTTTAGGGGTTGAAAATAGCCTTCCTTTTCGATATAATATGGTTGGGTGATCCGCTCGGTTGCGTGATCCGCTCGCTTACCGATTACGTTAGTGTTGAATCTTTGAATGGGTTGGACAGTGTGGATATGAAGAGACTCAGAAGCTATTGTTCTGAGTGACTGGAGCTGCTATCTAGCGTTCATGTCTAGTTTATAAGGCCGCTCCTTAATCGTCTCATGCTTGAACGGAATGACTTGTCTCAGTTGAGCTGAATCACTGACAGGAAAGTGGAACATTCAGAGGTACAGTGAAGCAAAGAAGAGTCTCTAAAAAGAAAGTTTTCAAATAGGTGGTAACATCTGTGCCCTGGACATAAGCCTCATCCCGTCTAACCACATGTTACCAAGATGATGAGATATGAATATAGAAATGCTAATTACTCCTTCGTTATGCCATGACCCTCCATAGCTATGTTTACTGAGCCTTGAACCAAAAGGCCAATGAAAGCCCTACCGAACCAAAAGGTGACATCGTCTTGTTGCTGCAACCAAGGGGTTTCCCATGGCAGACCACGCTCGTCAATCTTGAACCTTGAATAATGACAGAGTATCAAGACCAGGACATCCTTCGCTCCTGACATCAGTGATATTGTCATAAGGAAACGGATCAGTCCAGATCAAGTCGAAGCTGGTCGGAATCAGCAAGGATTCAGGCACGGAATCGTCTGGCGCGACTCACCGGTCATCAGGATACTCCGGGGCATGGTCAGAGCCCAGTTCCTCCACGATTTCTTTCATTCTCCCATGTCGCCAGCAAATCAGAATATTTCCCGGTCCCTGGAAGTCGCTCACGAGTTTCCCTACGCATCTGACTTGATTCCGTTTGCAGGAAAGATCAACTGCAAGACCCAAATCGATAGCGAGCGGGAGGACGGTCTCGAATGAGCGTCTGTGTTGACCATCTAAGGGGAGACTAAGGGGTTAGATCAACTTGATCTGACTGAGCCGCAAGGTAAAGCCGAGTAGAGACTATGGCATACATCTGTTTGGTCTCGGGGCGACGATATAGCCGATGTCATATGTTGAGTTGACACCGAAAACGTCTCGGAGGCATTCGGCCCGCCTGAAGCCGTCGGCATTCAAGCCAGAATCCTCGGGGTCGCCAGATTTCTCGCCATGACGGATGATGTAGACTGTTGGGTGGTCTGCCGCTGTTGTGGTAACCAGAGGGGATGCGAGTATCAAGACGAGGAAACAAAGATGATACATTCTGACCAATATCCGCTCCCAGAAATGGTTCAGTATGAAGATGCGCTGATTAGGTGGAGTTCAAAGTGTAAATAACTTCTTGTAGGTGCTCCATCTCGATGTCTCCTGAAAGCATGCTTGACTGTATGCAAGATGCGCGTCATTTCAGAAGTGGAAGCAAAATCAAGCAGTGGCTTGTGATATTATCGCAAGGTCGCACAAGTAGATTAAAAATCAAACTGCAGAGACATGAACTGTCCACTGCAATGCCTCAAACTTATCTCCTGAGGCTCATCACTGAGTGGGCTTTCGTCTCGCGTGGACTGAGCAGACTTGTGTGACGTAGATCAGGTGCCTTTTTCAGCCGTTAGTGGGCTTAAGAAGTCTGACTCGGCCATTATTTTGTGATTGTCCTCATGAAAAGTAATGATCATGAAGTAGACCGTCATCTTTTCCCGCAAAGATGGTTTGCTGTCAGACACATGTTTACTTTTTTCGAGGGTGATCATCCGCATCTGATAGGCATGTAGCGTGACTCTTACGAGATCTTCATCCCGAGATCACACGCTGTATGAACTGTGGAGCTAGTAGGTTATGAGTTGGTTTTGATTCAGTGGAAGAGGAGTCTCTTGATGAAGTAGACATTGAGTTGTAGTGTTGAATTGTGGTCAGGTAGGCACAAGGTACCGGGCAGCGGTGGCTTATCTAGTGGGATCAAGGACGTCTATAAAGTATTTGGTCCCAAGTAGGATGTCTTCTCCTCGAATCAGCTTGAACTTGAATACGGAGAACAACAGCATTAAGCATGTAGCCGTCAGGTAGATGGTTGCTCAGTTGCTATTTGGAGATTGTCTTGTAGCCTTGGCCAGAGAATGTCTAGACTGTGACGATCAAGAGCTCAGCCCATTGAGACGACGAGCCGATCTCTATGGTCAATCCGAAACTTCTCATGTTTTGACTTGCGCTGTTCTCTTTCAAAGGACTTGGCTCTAATCCCATAGGAAGTCAATGGAGACGCGAATAATATGGCTGCCTGGTGAGCGGTAATTAACTTGAGGTAAGGCAGTTGTATGATCGATTCGGAGGTGCCGCTGCAGTATCCAAGATACCTTACGGAAGTCGGCAGCCTCGGATACAGTCCCAACGAATACAGTGAAAAAATTGCAGTCCTAAATATAGCTTTTCTTGATCAATATTGTGAAATCAAAAATGTCAGTCAACACTCAACAGGATCGATGGTTTTTTGTCTAACAAAATAGACAACAATATAGAAGATGCATTCTGTGGTTGCCGTTGCACAGCCACTCAACCCAGCCACATGTGGCTTTTATTGTCTGTATTTTGTGGTAATTCAGTAACAAACACACAGCGCTTCAGCTTGCACAGATTTAGGCAACTAGAAATTGAGGGCAATCTAAACTCCGAAAGTTCAAGTCCCTTGGTCGATGCCAGAGCCAAGAAGCAGTCGCTAATAATATTTCAAGCTATCTAGGATCGAAACCACGAATCTGATCAAAATTTACCTAAACGAGTAAAACCTGGAAGATCTGGCGGGGCATGTTCTCTGTAATAGTACGTACAACTGTATTGTCATCGAACTCAGCATTGCGCCTTCTGGAAGGCAACAGCCACCCCGCTACTTCCATCTACCATAATGCGGTGTGGCGGAGGTCTTTGTTCGGAAATATGGATCAGTCGGAGTCGAAATGTATGGCCATGAAATGGATAAGCCACAATATGAGTATCAGCATACCAATGAGAGTTGTCAGTAGGCGCCCCATCGATGACGGGACAGTGATAGCATCCGACAGAATAATGTATTGTTCCATCTCAAGCGGCGGTATCATCGTATCATTGCCGTTGGCGCCGACGTAAATGACTAAAGTGGGGTCCCATCCCCTCAGCAATCGATTCAGCCCTACATATTTGTACCAAGCAGTTAGTTACTAGGTAAGTAGGGAGATATAAAAGATAGAGGGGCACCCTCGGACTTTACCTCTGCTTCATCATTCTCAATCACACATCATCTCCTCCTGAAATTCCATCTTATCCACCTACTATCACTCCAACAAACTAATCAACACAACAATGTCCGGTCCCTACGATCAATACTCCCAGCAGCAAGGCTACGGCTACGGCCACGGCCAGGACCAGGGTCAAGGCCAATACCAGCAGGGAGGATACTCCCAAGGCGGCTACGGACAGCAGCCTTACTCTAACCAGCAATACGGCCAGGAGTATGGCCAACAACATGGTCAGCAACACGGTCAATACGGAGGCTCTGGTGACTATCACAATCAGCAGCGTGATTACAACCAGGATCAGTACGGCCAGCACCAGCAGAGCCAATACGGTCAACACGACCAGTACAGTCAACAACACCAGGGCCAGGGGTCATACGGACATTCTGGGTATGTCATCTGCCCCACCCCTCTCTTCTCGTGTACATAAACTTCCGGTAACATCAGCTGACATTTCTCTCTCTAGCTACAATGACCAGAGCGCTCCCGGTGGAGCCCAAGAGGGCGAGCGAGGACTCGGCGGTGCTCTCGCAGGCGGTCTCGCGGGTGGCTTTGCAGGCCACAAAGCTGACCACGGTATTCTGGGTACCATCGGAGGCGCCATCATGGGATCCGTCCTGGAAGACGCCGTCAAGAAGCACAAGCACAAGGAAGAGGGGCCCCCGGGATACGGCAGCCACGGTGGCTCCCAGTACGGCAGTCACCAGGGCCGGCCTGGTTCGTCAAGCGGCGGTGGTCTGATGGATAACTTGGGCAGCTTCTTCAAGAAATAGACTTCTGGGGTCCTTGTCGACCGAGCCGGTACAGAATACCGCGAGCTTTGACTCAATACTCGCGAGTTTTTCTTTTCTGATTTGATGACTTTCACCTGCATGAGGATGACCTGCTGTTCTTCGCTTAATTTTATCTTGATACCGATGCTGCACATGAGGCACGTTGCTTGACGGCCAATGACTAGATTTGATTTGATTTGGTTTGCACATTGAAGACAGAGACTGGTTTGTAGACTGTAGATTGTGCCAAAATAATGTGAGCGCTACTCATTGATTTGGTCAATGCAGCCTGAAGAACATTGCTAACATAGTGGCTTTTGCTTTCATCCATTCATTAAACGGCCTAGATGCCTGGGAAGTTGCGGTGGGGAGCAGAACTGGTCCTGTGACGTGCGTTGCCTTAGCCGCTTTCCCAGAGCTCCCTAAAAGAGTGAGGGCAGAATACCTTGTGTAATAAATGTGTCTCGCGGATATCCAGCGGTCTTGTCTTTTGCTACATTACAATGTTTGGTTACTTTATCTTCCAGCAGACCAATACGACGATCAGTGCTTTGTACACCAATAAGGATGAAGTGCATCACTATCCTCAGCCTCGCTCCAAGCGCCTGCCCCTCTTTCTCATCCCCTAAATCTGTGATCCGTATTCTATGGCAACCTCCCTAAGAATATTCATGACTGTTGATCGATACATGCCTCTCTGTTAATTAGCGAACCCATCCCGACAGTCCTAAACATGGAACCGCTTTCTGGTGCAGCAAGCGTTATCGCAGTCATCCAACTAACAGGGGCCATCGCGCAGATATGTGGAAGTTACATCAGGAAAGTTGAAGAAGCGAGGCAAGACATCCTCCACCTTCAGGAGGAGGTCGACGCCCTTTCTCAGGTACTCAATTCGCTCAACAAGCTTCTTAATAGCACGAACAGTACGAAACTCGTTGCTTCCCAAGAGCTCATCGACAATATTGCAAAATGCTCATCAACTCTCACGGCATTGAAGGAAAATCGATCCGGAAATAGCACAGAGACGGATGAGGAAATGGGGGCTCCGAGCATTCAAATGGCCTTTAAAACGTGAGGAGGTGGTCAAGGCGATCAGCGAGATCGAGCGGTATAAAACATTATTCGACTTATCGTTGCTCATTGACCAAACGTAGGTGTATAACCCTACCCTTTATACGTAATCGAGCTAATGTTATAATCAAGGAGATCTGCCAATCTTATCAACCAAAAGATAGATCTCGGCCGGTTACATGTCGCTAAAGGGGCAGCATTTAATGACTACGAAAACCAACACACTGAGTGCCTTCCCGGGACCCGGGTCGAGCTTCTCCGCGACATTGACAACTGGTCCAAGACATCCGATGGAAAATGTATTTTTTGGTTAAACGGCATGGCCGGGACTGGAAAGTCAACAATTTCCCGGACCGTTGCAGGCCGTTTGAAAGGGCAAAATCGCCTTGCAGCGAGCTTCTTCTTCAAAAGGGGCGAACAAGACCGAGGGAATGCAAAAATGCTCTTTTCGACACTTGCCAAACAATTAGGAGGCACTATACCTCAACTGAGCCCCAGTATCCAAAAGGCAATCGAGGATGATCCAGATATTTCAGAACGGGTGCTTAGGGAACAATTTGACAAACTTATTCTACAGCCACTTCTTGCAATCAGCCAGCGCCCAAGTACAATTATGGTGATCGTGATTGATGCACTGGATGAATGCGACCAGGAAGATGATATCCGAGTTATTCTCCATCTCTTGCCACGGGTCCAAAGGTCAAGTTCACTGCAGCTACGATTTCTGTTAACAAGCAGGCCGGTGTTGCCAATCAGATTGGGCTTCGAGAGCATCACCAATGACTATCAAGATCTGGTCCTCCATGAGATTCCAAATCAAGTGATTGAACACGACATATCCTTATATATTAAGGATCAGTTTTTCAAATTGAGGCAGGAGCGATCATTTTCGCTCGACTGGCCTGGGGAAGAGTCTATCAAGATCCTGATTGAAAGAGCCGTCCCGTTATTTATTTCAGCTGCCACTTTATGCCGATTTATTGGTGACGCGAATTGGAATCCCCGGAAACGTCTTGATGCGATTCTTACAGATCAATCTATCTATGTTTCAAAGATGGACAACACATATAGGCCCTTGCTAAATCAACTCCTTATTGGCCAGGATAAATGGGAGTTGCAGCGGTTAATCCGAGAATTCAAGGATATTGTTGGAGTTATTATTCTTCTCTTCACTCCGCTCTCTGTTAATGCCCTCTCTCGTCTCTTAGAAATAGAGGAGGACGACGTTAGCAATCGATTAAGACCCTTCCACCCAGTTCTCAGAATACCCGACGATTCGGTGATACCTGTCAGGCTTTTCCATCTATCATTCAGAGACTTCCTTCTGGACCCCCAAAAAAGGGACAGCAGTCTATTCTGGATAGATGAAAAAAAAAGCGCACCAAAATCTCATAGCACGATGCCTAAACGTCATGGGGCAGAGACTGAAGAAGAATATCTGCAACCTGCCTGGTGATGGTACACAACGCAGCGAAGTCCACGCCAATTCTATTAATCATTATCTACCCCCGGAATTACAATACTCCTGTCGTTACTGGGTGCAACATTTGGTACAAAGCGAAGAGCCTGCCACAGAAGCGATAACGGCTATTTCATTCCTTAAGGTGCATTTTCTCCACTGGGTGGAGGCTATGAGTCTTCTGGGCATCCTATCTGAAGCCCTAGCAATGATGCATCTATTACAGTCAGTCACACATGTGAGTTATAGCCGTGAGATCATTTGTTTGCTAATAATAGAGTGAAATTCCTGACTTGGAGTAATAAGGATCCTGAAATAGCACAATTTATACTCGATCTGAGGCGATTTATACTTAGAAATCGACATATCGCTAATATCGCGCCGCTCCAACTATATTCTTCGTGCCTCATATCGCACCGGAAATGTCCATAATAAGAAAGTTATTTGGCAGAGAGCTCCCCAGCTGGATAAGGAGGTTGCCAAAGGTCGAAAAGCTTTGGGGTGCAGAACTACAGACCCTAGAAGGCCATTCAGGCGCAGTTGGAGCGGTGGCTTTCTCACCAGACAGCCAAGTGCTGGCAACAGGTTCCCATGATAAGACTATTAAGCTCTGGGATACTACGACTGGATCATTACAACAGAGTTTAGAGGGACATTTAGATTGGGTTCGGGCCATTGCATTCTCATCATGCGGTCGATTACTAGCATCAGGTTCTCATGATAGTACTATCAAGCTCTGGGATGCTGTTACCGGAGCCCTACAAAAAACTTTCTGCGGCCACTCTGGATCGGTCTTGTCTGTGGAGTTCTCACCAAATGGCAGACTCATGGTATCTGGCTCAGTTGATAGCACAGTTAAGCTCTGGCATACTGCCACTGGCGCCCTGAAACAGACTTTCAAGGGTCATACACATCCAGTTCAGGCTGTGGCCTTTTCACCAGACGGCCAAGTGCTGGCATCTGGCTCCTATGATAAGACAATAAGGCTCTGGGATACTACAACTGGATTATTACAACAGACTCTTGAAGACCATATAGATTGGGTTCGGGCCATTGCATTCTCATCATGCGGTCAGTTACTAGCGTCAGGTTCTCATGATAGTACTATAAAGCTCTGGGATACCGGTACTGGCGCCTTAAAACGAACGCTTACTGTTGAAGGGCCTCTGCGAAAGACCGTGGACGGCCATCAAGGTTCAGTTGGGGCTGTGGCATTCTCACCGGACAGCCGACTTCTGGCATCTGGCACCCATGCCAGTACAGTTAGGCTCTGGGATACCACCACCGGTGCCTTGCGACGAACTCTAGAGGGCCACACATTCTCAGTTTGGGCTGTAGCTTTCTCACCAGACAGCCAACTACTGGCATCAGGTTCTTTTGACAGCACAGCTAAGCTCTGGGACATCACCACTGAAGCCTTGCAAGGCAACTTTATCGATAAGAGGGCCGCACGGCAGACTATGGACGGTCATTCGGGCTCAGTCGGTGTCATTGCATTCTCACTGGACAGCAAGATGCTGGCATCTGGCTCCATTGATAAAACAGTCAAGCTCTGGGATGCCACTACTGGAACCTTGCTACAGACCTTAGATGGCCATTTGGATTTCATTTGGACCATTACCTTCTCACCAGATCGTTGGTTTCTTGTATCAGGCTCCAATGATGGTACAATTAAACTCTGGGATACTAGTACTGGAACCCTGCAACACACCCTGGATGGTCATTTAGGGGCAGTTAGGGCTGTAGCATTCTCACCGGATTGTCAACTGCTGGCATCAGGTTCCATTGACAACACAGTCAAGATCTGGGATCCTGTCACTGGGGCCTTGAAACAAAATCTGTCAGTCGAAGGCGTTGTCACTGACATGGAATTTTCAAATCGCGGTGTTTTCCTAGAAACGAACCTTGGGCAGCTAAGTATTCAGTTCTCACCCAACAATTGCACCTTCGTTGTTGCCCTTACCACCGCTGAGTTATTGATAGAAGACGATTGGATATCGCTCAACGGTGTAAAGGTTCTATGGCTGCCTCCGGCGCGTCGGCCGTCCTGTTCAGTAGTCAAAGAGTGTACAGTTGCCCTGGGGCACACATCAGGAGACATCTCTCTTATAGAATTCTGTACTTAAGCATCTCAGTTATGTATCAACTATCTACCTTTGTCCTATTGCTGGTCCTTCATGCATATTACGTGCCTGTTTGGTTAGATCAATTCCAATCTGGCCCATGGAAGTTACTCCACCAGATCGGAGTCCTAGGAGGAAAAGTCCTTTTGAAGGGCAGAATAATCTTGCTCGCACAATAAATGGCAATCTTGTTCTACATTACCGAGTAAAGGCGTGCTTAATCACGTCATTTAGTTAGACTACTGCCACTTGGTAGTGAGAGGCCGAATTTGAATACAAAGACTGAAAGTAAGAATCCAAGCCAGTAGGAAGCGGTCACGTTCCAACAAAACCCGCACTTAGTCCATATGGCTCCAATGATTTTTGATTGAGGAAGAATTCTATTGTTTCTGGAAACAAACCTATCCAAAGGCACAAGAACTTGGTTTTGATAAATGTTTTCCTTGGCATATACTATGCGTTTTCCTCGGGATTCGAAAAGTTGCATCCCAGATCTATATTAATAGCTTGGAGCTGCCACAATGCGGTAATATATCCCTCATACAGGCTGGAATCAGGGTTAGTCAAGTAAGTCATAGTAATAGCGTGCGCTCATATCATGCCATGTGGTTACTAACAGTGCTAGATAAGCCGCTATCAGTAATGCTGTGATTCAGAACTGGAAGGGTGGAAGAAACCCAAAATGGACTAGCGCACAATTTGCATGCCTCAGGCCCAAACACCCGCCAAGCCCGACATCAAAAGTTCGATCGGCCGGAAACTGAGCATTTCGCATACGGAGCAGCTCGACTTCTAATTCAGCATATTTCAAGATGATTGTTCGACAATTATGTGTGCGGCAGAGTATGTTTTGACTTGATATTTCTTCGACAATAACATCATTCGAAATCTGTTGCTAATCAGTCTTCTGCAGGCCGCCAGCTTCTTGCTGCCAATCGACAGACTCGCATCCTGAGCCGATTCTCCTCGACAGGAACTCCTGTGGAAACCGCTGTACAACCCCCTCCAAGTGAAGTGACGCAACAGCCAAGTTCGTCTGTCAGCACTGTGAAAGAGACAGGATCAGTAGCACCGTCAGCCAAGGAGGCGTGGCGCAAGCGCGAAGTGCAAAGTGAGCGAGATCGAACAACCTCCCTCCACCTCCTGCTCGAGTACTGACTTTATACCCTTGCAGAGCAGAAATTTCACGCCCTCGGTAGTGATGTAGCAGTCGCATACAAACCAGAAGATCTGATCCAAAATCCTCCTCGACCCTCCGATATCACCCTCGAATTGCTCCTCGCATCTCAAACACACCTCGGTCATTCTACTTCTCGCTGGAACCCGCAGAACTCGCGCTATATTTTCGGTATTCGAGAAGGTGTTCATATTATTTCGCTCGATGTAACTGCAGCGCACTTGCGGCGTGCAGCCAAGGTTGTGGAAGAGGTTGCCGCCCGAGGTGGTCTCATCCTTTTCGTCGGCACTCGAAAGGGTCAAAAACGGGCAGTTGTCCGGGCTGCGGAGCTGGCCAAAGGATACCACATCTTTGAGCGTTGGATTCCTGGTAGCTTGACCAACGGACAACAGATCTTAGGCCACTGTGATACCAAGGTGGTGAATGTGTTTGACGAAGAATTGCCGGAATTCAGGGATCTTCGGACGGATCAGCCGGCCATCAAGCCGGACCTTGTGGTCTGTTTGAATCCCATTGAGAATGCTGTTTTACTGCACGAGTGTGGCTTGAACAATGTTCCAACCATCGGCATCATCGATACGGATGCCGAACCAACTCAAGTGACCTACCCCATTCCTGCGAATGACGACAGTTTGCGTTCTGTGGCTGTCATTGCTGGTGTCCTGGGAAGAGCCGGGGAGGCAGGTCAAAAACGGAGACTGGAGGAGGCGAAGAAGGGCAACATTACACACAGACTCCCTACGGTGAAGGAGCTCGGCATCAAGCTTCCAGAGAATATGGCCGAAACCACCGAAATCCAGCAATGATGTGTGTTGTGCCTGATCAGGTTTTGTTATTTTATGCCCAAAGTCCAGCATTCCGATCAACTGAGTGATTGTATTGTATAGAGCTATGTAAAGTTTTCTCACTTCCTGGTGCGATCATCTGTATTGACAGCCTCAATTCAAGTCAATTTTCCGGGGAATTTTCTTATATTCTCTCAAGAAAGCGGCCATATTAATTTGGATCCATATCTCCCGGTGAGTTCGGTCCGGAGTGTCAGCCGGGTGTTCAATCGCGATAAATGAAGCAATATGTTCAAATAAGTCATCATGAATTCTCCAAGGCTCTTCTATCTTTCTATTCTGCAACGCCAAAACCTCTCTTTCTTTCCATTTGTGCACAGCCCTGTTACCAACTACAGGGAATCGGCTACTTCAAATACAGTGTGACTCATCACGCTGTAGCATCTAATTCTTCAAAGTATAAACAACGCGGCCTCGAGAGTCTCTCCCCTTGTATTCAACAGGCCTGCCATCATCAGACACAACGCGTCTGTCATCGCCGTTGTGCAAGATGATGTCCAGATCCTTCCAAGCGGGAACAAAGCCGCTCTCTTCATCGCGTATCAATCCAACAGTCACCTTCTCATCCGTCGAGCTGTAGCTGATGATGTACTTTGACATTTTAGGCTGAAGGGAAATCCCGTCATCCTCAAACCAGCTAGAGGAGAAGACGCGACCATGAGAGCTGCCCCTGGGAGGGAATATCTCAACGCCTCTGTAGTCGTCAAGTTCCTCTACCGCCAATGAAGCCTCAGTCTCATCCCCAGGGACTCTGGTTTGAACTGAATTTCCGACAGGAATGGCACCGCCGATACGCGCAACAAGCGGGATGCTTTCTCTCCATTCAGAGGGTATCTCGACCCACTGACCGGAGGCGAAATAGGTGTAGGGCGAGTTCATATTGACATACCCAAAGTCGAACTCATCGCTCGCCTTACGGGGAAGGTACATCTTCGCGACGCTTACACCGGGCTCGTACACGCCTCCGACGAGAATTGTATCACCGAACCAGTACTGCTCTTCTCCGGACTTGAGGGCCTTGGTCCAGACTTCAGGATCGGACTCGTAACCCCATCCGATCCAGCGCTGAGGCGGAGAAGCGGTCAGGTGGCTCTCCAGACCAAGGGAGTATATGTAGGGAAGGATCTCATAACGGCGCTTGATGGTGTCGCGAACCAGCGGCGTGATCTCGGGGTACATCCAGGGCTCAATGACATCTCCGACGGAGTTGTTCCCAGGCGACGTTTTGAAGCAGTTGATGGCGAATCGAGGCGAATGAATACCTAGTTGGACCCAGCGAAGGAGTAGTTCGGGAGAGGGTTGGGGCCCTGATTGAGAAAAAACAGTCAGATTCTTCGCCTTTCATCAGTGTTTTGCAAGGGAGGAGGCACACCTTCGAAACCACCAATATCATGGCCGAAGCACTGTCAGAAGTCAGCATGAAATGTTCGCCTAGCTCGGTCTGCAATGGCGGAGTCTTACCTGCAAAAGTGAAATACCAGCGTTCAATGACAAGGCGTTTGCGCCTTTCATGCTCTCCCAACTGGTCACATTGTCTCCACTCCAAGAGCTGGCTGCATACCGAAGAGTGCCAGCAGTGGCGCTTCTTGTGAGCACAAAGGGTCTGTATTTGGGCTCCAGGTCGAGTAAAGCATCATGAGATGCTTTGCCCATGAGTTCAGTATGCATTGCGCGGCCCCAGAGCCCGACCGATTTGTCGCTCTGTCTCTTTGCCCCTTCAGCGACTACTGATCCATCAAGAGCCAGTTGCCATTCATCGTCGGGAAGCGTATATTCGTTGTTGTCGTTCCACATACCATCGATTCCGGCTCGCTTCAGGCTCTGAACGCCTTCATACCACCATCGGAAAGCGAATGATGAGGTAAAATCAATGTGGCATCCATCGCCACCGGTCGCGCCCCCTGCGCTCCATAGTCTCATTTTGCCCGGTTCCTGAGTATCGGGCTTCTTGAACAGTGCCCCCGCACTGACAAGCTTCTGGTAATCTGGATGTGACGCAAGCACAAAGGGCTTGATGTTGGTAATGAGTCTGATTCCTCGAGCGTGGTATTTTGCAATCCACTCTTCGGGGTTGGGAAACCGATGCTTGTTCCAGGTGAAGACATTGCGGACCTTGGGTTCTATCTCTGCAATTGAGTAGCCGGAGCTCATTTGGTGGGCGGAGCATGGAATGTCGTGCTCCTTGAGCTTGTCTGCAAACTCAATGAGTCCTTGGTGCGCAGGCGGGTCATCAAGCATGGTGTACTTGTAACCCCCCGAGACGTAGCCATAAGCCCATCGAGGTACAAGGAGCGGGAAGCCAAGGAGCTCTGCATATGATCTCACGATATCCTTGAGTGTTCTTCCTACGATCAGATACTGCTCGAGGCCTCCATAGTCTTGACGGTACACCTTGAAGTGGCCCCAGAGCCCATCGATTTCGGAACCAACCGACCACGTCCCTCTGGCATGTGTTGTTGAGAAGAGAGCCACGCAACCAGTGGGAGTCGCTTTGATCAGCAATGGGATGTGCTTATACAACGGATCTGTGTTGTAAACATCGTACCCGAAACTGTCTGTCGCGGAAAGCAGGAAGTGACGCCCGGTGAGATCCATGGGCGCCCTTTTCTCCCCCAGCCCAACATGAAGCGCATTCCGGTCGTGCTCAGAATAGTGCGCGATGCCGGTTGCGTCCGCCACGTACGAGCGCAATGGCAGATCCCGGTGGAGGGGCTTCTCTTCACCGGTCCACGACAACGAGACTACTGGAGTATCGCTCCAGTCGACGGTGGCCGTCACGCCGCCGACCTCGATTGTCTTGGATGATACGCCACCGGTGGCAGATACACAAATGCCATTGAGGTCTGTCTTTGGCTTCGAAATGCTCGGATAGGGGGGGAGAGGATGGTCTTGCGAGGAAAACGTCACACGGAAAAGGTTTTGACGAATCGCTTCGAATGAGAAATCAAAGGAACGATCTCTTGAGTTGCCTGAACGGAGATACACCGAAGAGTCTGCCACGGTATTTTCAGAAGGCTGTTCTTGATAGCCTTTGGGGCAGAATTCTTTTTGAGGCATGATTGCTTATAGTTCGGTACGCCGCGAGGTCAATTGATTCGAAAGAAGAAATTCAGGAGAACCCTCACGGAGGCTTTACAGGAGAAGAGGTCTACAGTACGATATCTATTTCAATGCTTCCCCTCATTATCCCCTCATTCAAAAAGGGTAAGCTGAATAGGTCTATGAGGGGCGTCACGGAGGAGTGTATGATCGGGCTTCGGCCTCCATCTCCGTTGTCCTGCCTTATCCACGCAGAACTTCGTCGGTCCATCGCTGTCTTCTCCGCGACTTGACTCACCTCGGTGACTGTTCAGCTTCATCTGACCATCGGGTTTTCCTGCCGAAAACCGAAGCTAAACTATCGCCAGATTAACGCAGACCTTCCCCCCGCTTCGTAGTCTTCTGGTCCCGCTTGATTGATTGGACAAGGCATCGGATGTTGCCCGTGGCTAACAGTCATGCCATTCAATCTGCGGTTCTGGCTTCATATTCCCCATGTGCTACCAAGGCTAGATGGTCTTAGTCTCGCAGTTGACTTTGTAGACCCGGCTAATGATTTTACGTTTCCATCGGCTTTGGGGTCACATCGTCCGGGGTTGTCCTCCCCACGGGGTTCCCCATACCTCACTGTCCAGACACTCCAGACCGTGCAGGATCATCCTCAGTGGATAAAAAGGTCTCCATGATCAACATGACAGATGATTACAGAATCGAGTCTGTACACTCGCATATCCTAGAGTGACCTTGGTGATACATATTATCAAAGTCACGCCCCCTCTCTTTTCTCCTCAGCTTGTCTTTTGGGCACTTGAGGAATACTTCGTCCATCTGGAACTTTCAATCAATCCTGCCCCCAAGTCCAGGGAAGCACAAAGGAGCTATGTCCCAAGAAGCACAGCCGGCACAGGGTAAGGGCATAGATGAGGAACTTATTGAGACGGTCCATACTGCTCCTCATCAAGGTCATACACAACCTAGCGAGACCAAGAAGGATGACGCCCTTCAGCTCATTGAGGAAGTGGGCCACTCGACAATCCTCACCGCGGAGAATAACGCCCGAGTTCTACGACAGATCGACTTGAGGCTATTGCCTATACTCTTGGGCATCTATTTCCTGCAACAGCTCGACAAGTCGACCCTCTCGTATGCTTCGGTTTTCGGTTTGATCGAGAAAGCCCATCTCCACGGCAACCAATATTCCTGGTTAGGCTCGGTCGTCTATGTCGCACAGCTCGTTGCTCAGCCTGTGATCGCTTATATCTTGGTGAAAGTCCCACTGGGGAAATTCTTGGCCTGCACCACGCTTCTGTGGGGTGTCTCGTTGACATGCATGACGGCGGCGAACAGCTTCGCAGGCTTGCTGGTCTGTCGAATGTTTCTCGGTCTGTTTGAAGCTGGAATTGGTGGGTATTTCGATATCGTCGTCAGCGTCCACCATTACTGACTGGAAGAACAAAGCTCCGGCCTTCATCGCCGTCACGCAGATGTGGTATCGTCGGCTCGAGCAGCCCGTACGACTGGGCTCATGGTACGCCATGAACGGAGTGGTGTTTATGGTAAGTTTAGCATTTGACAAGGTTCAAGCATTCTTCTAGAGTTGTGCTAACGAACATCTTGCCAAATAGTTCGGCAGTCTAATAACCTGGGGCCTTGGACAGATTAGCTCGTCGGTCTTTGAACCCTACCAGGTGAGTGATTTGCGGCCTCTCCTGCCTCTGCTGCGTCTGCTCAGCGAGGACGAACGTAGCACTAACTATCATAACAGATTATCTTCTTATTCTTCGGTCTCATTACTGTCGTGTTTTCTGCTGTAGTTCTGTGAGTGGATGCTGATCAATCATCCCTAATCGTGAAAGCTGCTAACGAGGATCGTCCAGGATGTATATGCCGGACTCGCCCATATGTGCCAAATTCCTCAATGAAGAGGACAAACTGATCGCTATTGAAAGGTATTCTCACTGAAGATTTCGGGACGAACATTATGGCTGATGGGTCCTAATGATGATTTAGACTCCGCATGAATCAGCAAGGAATTGAGACTCACCACTGGAAATGGAATCATGTGAAAGAGGCCTGCTTAGATCTAAAATCATGGCTCTGGTTTGCTTTGATGTTTTCCATCTCGTAAGGGGACCAGAAAACCGCTGTACCAACAATGTGGCTCACACCAAAGCAGGATCCCTAGCGGAGGCATATCCACCTTCGGCCCTCTTATTATCAAGGCCTTTGGATTTGATCAGTTCAAGACGATTCTTTTCAACATTCCGTTTGGTGCAGTACAGCTCGTGGCCACTATGGGTGGAGCGTGGCTGGCAACCTTCATCAAGATGAAGGGACCGGTGGTCATTCTCTTGTGCCTACCGGCAATTGCTGGCTGCGTGATGCTACTGCAGATTACGCACGATGCGGCAAATCGGGGCTCTCTGCTTGCGGGATATTACATTGTAGGTCATGAAGAACTTTTTTGAGGAGTGTCGCTAACAACAGCCAGCTTTCTGTCTACCCAGGCATCAGTATGTTTCGTGAGATGTATGTTTTTTACTGTAGCTGACCGACAATTAGCACCTATGGTCTATTCATGGTCTGCTGCGAACACTGCCGGCGAAACGAAGAAGAAAGTGACGACTGGCCTATTGATTGTCGGACAATGCGTTGGTAACGTACGTGTGCCTACAGCAGAATGACAATATAGAGTCTCATGCTAATGTCTTCTAGATCATTGGTCCCACTCTATACACAACCGCCGAAGCGCCGCTTTACAGACGTGGTCTGCTCTCAAAGTAAGCAATGAGACTTATACCGGCTCGTTTCGGCGCACACTAACGAAAAACAGCCTCGCCATGTTCTGTGTACTGGTTGTTCTCTGCATGTAAGTGATTGCCTTTCCTTTGGGGGACTGAAGCTCTAACCCTCACCTTCAGTATAAACCTGGTGTATCTCTGGGTTCTCAACAAGAAGCACGCCCAGAAGCGAGTGTCTATGGGCAAGAGTGCGACTATCGTCGATCACTCGATGTACACTGTTGGTGCTGCTCCAGTAGACAAGGAGGGCGCGCCTGTCCAGCATGGTGCTATGGAAGACAATGCATTCAAGGACCTTACGGACTGGCAAAATGAGGACTTTGTCTATGTATTCTAATTTTTATCCCTGTCTTTTCTCGTTGGGTATCTGCTACTTGTGGTATTGATTTATGTGGATTGATATCATAACTCGCTCAGCGTATGATAAGTTAAGTGTCCAATCTGATCGTGAAGGAGTTCATTACCAGACTTAAATCTGTATATTTCTCAAATTTGAATCATACGCCATCTGCGTTTCTTCCCAGCTCGTATAAAGACATTCTGTCTCACTGTTTCATGCAAGCGTAGGTCTATGCTACACACTCAATAGCCGAGCCGGCTTAACCCCGATGAGGGCGTCACCCCGCTGAGTTTATTTTCTCGACATCGTTCAGCTCAACTTTTGTTTTCCCCAGAGTCTCCTGCATTCAACGAGTTGCCGCCAGTATTTCATTGAATATGTGATATGTATTCACCCTGCGATGGAATCAGATGGATCGTCCTGCGTCGTGTCGGCTCCAGCGGGTAAGAAGCGGATTCCGGTGTGTTTTCCTCTCCCTATCCATCGTAAGCACATGCGGCAATATTGCTTATAACATGATCTAGAGAGCCTGTAGCGCTTGTCGACAGTCAAAGGTATGTTCTCTCTGTCCATGATATTCTGTGACTTGTCGCTGATGTACCTATCAGGTCAAATGTGATGGGAAGAGGCCTTGCACCAGGTACCATTCCTCGCCACTGATGCCCATGCTAGAGAGATTGATCGTGCTGATTGTATACAGGTGTAACAAATTGAAAAAGCGATGTGTCTTCTTTCACATTCCAAAGGACCCTGCTACGGAGTACGCCCTCGCACCCGTTTTACGCTTACTCCATATGTAACTGACGCATCCTCAGGAGACTTGAAAATGTCGAAGCTGAGGTTCGTCACCTCAGAGAGCAAGTGGATGCTCTACGTGATCTTCTGCAGACACATTCGAATTCAGACGCCCGAGTTCTCGTCGCTGAGGGACAGGCTCCTCACAGACAGATACTGCCTACCAATGGACAAGGCACAGATTGCCATATATCCCCTGCCTCTCAGATGATACTGGGATCCACCATTGTGCCTCAACTCCATGAGGCCAATTATGCAGAGGCATCGGCTGGCGATCAATCAAGGGTGAATGGGTTGGCCGCGAGCCCTGGAGAAATTTCTAACCATTCTCGCATGCAAACTATAATCACAGACGCAGGCAGTGTGACGAAGAGAAAACGATCTGGTTTCGAAATACGCGACGAGCCAGTTGCAGATTTTATCTCGAAGGGCTTGATGACGCCAGACCATGCCATTTCTTGCTTCAACACGTGAGATCCCTTCACGGAAATTTGTACTTTGTCCCATCGTTTTGCTAACCATAAGATGGTACAGATTTTTCCAAGGTTGCGTATGTGTTACGGTAGTTCTTTTCCTCCGTCTCGGCATGCTAATACGTACATTGCCATGGACAGGACAGGTATATCCCGATATTTGACCCCGAGTACGACACCTTCGATTCGGTGCGCTCGCGAAGCAGCATCCTACTCAACGCTATCTGCACGATAGGAAGCCGCATCGAACCCAGTAAGTACCAATCTTGCTTTAAAACTCGTGAAGGCGTGTTGCTAACACATGTTAGGGTTCGGTCCTCAGATATCCGATATACTGCACGCAGAGCTCAAGAAATGGATTAATGTCATCATTCAAAACAAGAGGTTGAATTGCCTGGAGTCTGTCCAAGCATTGCTCGTTGTTGCTTGCTATTCTACGGAGCGCTCGTTGATCTTATCCTTTGCTACTCGAATGGCCTTAGATCTGGACCTGGACGAAGCTTTCGAGGAGTTGACTCAACGTATGACGATGAAAGAAGTTGAGGACTTTCATGGAACTACTGGACTTACAGAGGAAGAACGCGGTTTGATGCGAAAGTCCAGAACCTGGTTCGGGCTATTGGTCTTGGAGCATATGTAAGCTGCTCTTGATCAATATTGGACGGGTGGGTTTGACAATCATCGTATAGTTTTCGTGTAGATGGCGGCAAACCGCCGGGCATCCGATTGCTTGGGAACGCACGTCGGTGTCGAACCTTGCTCAAACATCCTTCATCGACTGTTTTGGATCTGCGTTTGTTCTCTCAAGTCGAGGTAGGTCAACAGAAAGGCTGCATTGCTGGAAAGAAGCTGACCATAGTCATTTACAGCTAAACGTCATCAGAAGTAGCCCAAAACATTTCACCTGTGTACTGAACGATTCAGCTGATCCTCCCGCAGCTAATATCAACGATACCTTGAGCGGCAAAGAGACTCTGATTCGCTCAGACATAGCTGGTTTCGTGCAAGAGGTCAAGGTTGAACTCGATCTCTGGTTCGAGTTCGTATCCCTCTCCTTTCCACTCGATGGAGTGATATACTGACTGGTATTGGTATCAGTGATTGGTTGCGCATCATCGGTGAGCTCATTGAAGGTTACTGAGCTACCTAGAACGCTAAATGGCTCACCGTCTACAGAAAACTCGGTCCCCGCCGAAGAGGAGAGACCGTTCCTCCTGCTCGCACTGCGCGTACAGAAATGCTGGGCCGATATGATGCTTTGCTGCAAGGCGCTGCGATCAATGGGCGTAGAGAACGTTGCGTGCGTTTTCCGACTGGTTTTCCACACTCATCAACTAATATCCGATAGAGCAATGTCTCCCATCGAGCGAAATATCCTAGTCATGGCCAAGGCAAGCGCACGCAAACACCTGCGCCTGATCAGTGGCGAGCCGGACTTCTACCTCGCCAAACTCAAATACGCCATGGACTTTGTCTGGGCTAAATGTGCCTTCTGCTTCCTTCTCCTCCTCAAGCTCTCCCGCCTCCTGCCGGAACGAAAAGAAGAACACCAGGAGCTTCTTGAACATGGGAATAGACTGCTCAGCGAACTGACCAAGAGCGCGGACTCCCACGGCAACACTAACGGCAGTAGTAGGATCTATCTGCAGATTCTCAAGCTCAGCATCGAGAAATACGGGAGGGCCGTGCAGGAGAGCGGGATGGACGTCGACCAGGCGGCCATGGCTCCATTTTGGGAGCTGTTCGATGCGCAGGCGGATCTGCAGTCGTTTGTGCCCGAGCAGTTTGTCACGGAGTGGGATTTTCCAGGACTGAATCTGTTCTATTTTCCTACCGCGTGGCAGGATTTCTTCGGGGATTTTTCATTGGCGATCTAGCAGGTGACTTCTTGAAGAGGATAAGCAAGCGTGGGGGAATCGTTCTGGGTGTCATTTATCCTTCGACCATGTACATGTAAACTAAATGCCTAAATATAAATGAAGTATGAACATCCTCTATGAAAAGGTGGATGGGTTGACGAGTTCCTGCCTCATGGAACTTTTTCTTCAATCTCATGTTGAAATGAACGAGATCTGGATATCTAACAGAAAGAAAACAATGCCAAAACACAACTAAACCGGCATGTTTAGCCCAATGCTCTCATGGTAAGCTCGACACTGTAACAAGTCAGCACGAAATCATATCAACGACGTAAGAAGAACATACACAGCGAAAGTACCCGCAGACACGGGCATAGCTCTCAGCAGAGTCGGCCCCAGGCCCTTCCAGAAGCCGCCAAAGCCCTCCGCGGCAAAAGTCTTCTTGAAACAATCGGTCATGCTCTTGAATTGCTGCTGCCCACCGAATCCGTCGCACTGCATCTTACTCTTGACCACGTCAAAGGGGTAGCTGCTCAGCCACAGGACCTCACCGGCAAGACCACCGTAGGTCGCGACTTTGATGCTGGAGATCTCCTCGCGCTTGATGTTGTTGCGCTTGGCGTCCTGGTTCATCAGGTACTCGAAGGTCAGAAACCAGGTACCGTAGGCCTGGGCTTCTCTGAGATATGTGACGTTCTGGCCCCTGTAGAGACCGCGTAGCACGCCTCCCTGAGCAACGAGTTTCCGGATGCAGTCGAGGGGACCGCTATATAAGCGGCCCTCGCCGTGCGGTTGGGTCTGCAGGCGGATACGGACGTGCTCAATGGGTCCCGAGAGGGCGGAGTTGGTGAGACCCGCGAAACTTCCGGCCAGATAGTACTGGCCGTAGGAGAGGGTGGGATCGGCATACTTCTTCTTGTTGAGCTCCTCCAGACGTCTTCTGGCTTCATGGAACGCACCGAATTGTACGCTGACCTGCAGGATATGAGTTCTCGCCTTGACTTTGCTGCCTTAGGAGTTGAATCTTACGCAGGCACCGATACCAATCAGTGGGGTCAAAGTCCCCTTGTAGAAAGCCATGGGGCCCTCATCCTTCAAGATTCTGGTGGCGCAGTCAAGAGCACTTTTGTACTCTGACGTGGTCTGTAACCGCACCTTGACAATATCTGACAAGTGTTAACTCGAGATTTGACTCCGTAACTCTGTGAGTCTCTGGTTTACCCACCAAAAGGTTGTCCTACAGGCCATTAGTATTGCAAGCGCATACAATTGACCAAGAATTATCGATCGATATCTACATACCAAGAAGCACCTGAGCAATGCCGCCCGCAGCACCAGCAGCCAAATCCTTGATAGTGCGCAGAGCTCCTCCGCCCTTTTGCATGTCCTCAAAGGCCTCCGACTCCATCTTGGCGTAACAATTGATCCGAGTTGATTCTGTGGCAGGACTCAGGAGCAATTGGCGCGGGTTTATCTGCCACACAATGGGTCCGCGCGAAGGAAGAGGATTCAAATCCTAGGATGTCACTTTCCCGGAGGACCAGATGAGTCTCTCAAGGGATTTAAAGACCCTAGCACCTCTTATCGGGGCGGGATGGTCGAAACTGTGGAAATCTCTCCACTGCAAACACCCCATTCTTTGTCTCCGATTCGGCGGAGGCGCCGACGCACGTGACCACGTGCGCGGGAAACCCGTCTGGAAACGCGTATTTCATTTACCCGTATGTAATCGTGTATCGTCCCGAGATTTAACCCCGAGGGAAACGCTCCGACTATCATAGCAGTGCTGGAGAGAGGGAGATCTCTTCCATCGAATTATGCATAGGCGGCTGGTCGTAGAGGTAAGTGCTCTTGACTCCAATTCTCAATTTTGATTCTCATCCAGAAAAATCACAGCTCTCTCGCCGTCACGGGCCCGAATGGTCGTGCCCAGCCAGGTCCAGGAAAGCAGCTTCTGCTCCGATACCAGCCTACGTTCCCCGACGGAGCTTTCGTTCATCCCTCGCGACCCTTGAATCGTCGTCCGAGTCAGCAAATTCCAATGAAGATGGATCGGTATCCCGTCCAGCATGGGGAGGTCCAAAGTTTGGTAGTCGCTGGGGAGCTAAGCAGGCACAAACACCGGCCACATTGAGTCCCGCAGAACAAGCGCTTCGCGATTCGTTGATAGCAAAGAAGGAAGCTGCAGCGAAGGAGGAAAAGGCAGAGAAACAAGAACAGCAGAGACCTGCACTACGCAGAAACACAAACGATTTGTTACGAGCGCTCGATGCGCCTGGAACGGGGCGACGCTCCGCTTCGTTACGGGAGCGCCAGCCGGAGAAGAATGTTGATGTGAATTCCAGCAGACCAGCGAAAAACCTTCGATGGACCGACTGGGATTGCCCAAGATGCCAATACTTTTGTTTCGGGAGAAACATGAACTGTCCACGCTGTAATGCCCCAAGACCGATAGCGGACACGCCAGCTCCGAAGTCACCTCGTCAGCTAAAACAAGAGGAGAACGCCTCAAAGATTCGGAGGCTGGGCAAGTCGTTGCAGTCAGAATATGGAACCCAAAGCACAGAACGCCGTCCCAGGGAGGCAAGCGCAAAGGAGGGATCTAACAGAGACCGGGCGTTTGAGCGATACCTAGCGAACAAAGGACGCAAGACCGAGTATCCACCTGCACCAACTGAACAAAAGACGCAGTCAATGGCGGAACAGCAAAATTCGGATGCTGGAGATGTGGGTTCAGAGACCCGCGGTGTCGACCGCCAAGCTTCTGGAGAAGTTAGCAAATCATCCAAACAGGAGGCAGACCCATGGACATGGGACCAGTCAGCCCTGGAGAAACTTCAACAGGCATATGAGGCGGAAGGTCAGAGTGGGCAAAAGCCGAAGCGGTGGGAAGGTCGCAAGCAACGAGAAGATGATATTGAGGACGAGGAATTTGACCCAGAAGACGACCGCCGCCGTCGCCGCGAGGAACGTAAGCGCCAGAAGAAAGAGAAGGCCCGGCAGAAGGAGCTCGAGGCGATGGCTCCCAGCCCTCTTTACCTTCCGGAATTCATCAGCATCAGCAACCTTGCTGATGTCATTGGTGTGCGACCGGCACTATTTATTCGGAGGATGGAAGAAATGGGATTTGAAGATGTCTCGTACAGCCATATTCTCGATGCTGAAACGGCAGGCTTGATCGCGAGCGAGTACAACTTTGAGCCTATCTTCGAGACCGAAGATCAGGACCTGGTTGCTGCTCCCGAGCCAGAAGACAAGTCCATTTTGCCGCATAGGCCACCCGTAGTGACGATTATGGGTCACGTCGATCACGGCAAAACCACTATTCTGGACTGGCTGCGAAAGTCGTCTGTCGCCGCATCGGAGCACGGGGGTATCACACAGCACATCGGTGCATTCTCCGTAGCTATGCCTTCGGGCAAGACTATCACCTTCTTGGACACACCTGGCCATGCAGCGTTCCTGGATATGCGTCGTCGCGGTGCGAATGTAACCGACATCGTCGTGCTGGTGGTTGCTGCGGACGACAGTGTCAAACCACAGACTATTGAGGCCATCAAGCACGCGAGAGAATCCAACGTTCCCATCATTGTCGCTATCAGCAAGATCGACAAAGAAGGTATCAACCCAGAAAAGGTCAAGCAAGACCTGTCCCTACATGGTGTCCACGTGGAGGACTACGGGGGCGATGTCCAGGCTATCGGGGTGAGCGGGAAAACGGGCCAGGGAATGTTGGAACTCGAGGAGGCTATCGTCACCCTCTCCGAAGTTCTTGACCATCGAGCCGACGACGCTGGAGCGGTGGAGGGCTGGGTGATTGAAGCTACAACGAAGAGCTATGGACGTGTTGCGACGGCTCTCATCAGACGTGGGACTCTGCGACCGGGTGAAATTATCGTTGCTGGTACAACGTGGGCTCGTGTTCGCACGCTTCGCAATGAAGCCGGGGTCGCCGTCTCCGAGGCTACTCCCGGCATGCCGGTGGAAATTGATGGTTGGAGGGAGCAGCCCTCCGCCGGTACCGAGATTCTTCAGGCAGAGGACGAGCAGCATGCCAAGGACGTTGTGGAGTACCGCCAGGAGAAGTCAGAGACTCAGAGATTGAGTGAGGACACATCGGCCATCAACGAAGCGCGTCGAGAACAGCAGGAAAAGCGACGGCAAGAGGAGAACGAAGGGGAGGAAGCTTTGGATGGCGACCAGCAGGCATCCGGACCCAAACCAGTGCATTTCATCATCAAGGCCGATGTTGGCGGTTCTGCGGAGGCGGTGCTCAACTCGGTGACGGCCATTGGCAACAACGAAGTCTACGCCAATGTGCTTCGCTCCGAGGTTGGACCCATCAGTGAGTTTGACATTGAGCATGCGGCCACAGCAAGCGGCAACATCATCTCTTTCAATATGCCGATCGACCCTGCCATGTCCCGAATGGCGGAACTGCGGGGGGTCAAAATCATGGATCACAACATCATCTACAAGCTCATGGATGAAGTCAAGGCGACGCTCAGTGAGCAACTGGCGCCATCGGTCAAACAGCGTGTCACGGGTGAAGCAGAAGTTGGTCAGATCTTTGAGATCACCCTCAAGGGAAGAGAGAAGGTTGCTATTGCGGGATGCAAAGTCCGTAATGGTGTGATCAACCGGGCTAGGAAGGTTCGAGTGTTGAGGGGACAGGACACGATCTATGATGGTAAGCTTTATTCGTTTTTTTGGGGGGGCTCACGGTTGAATGCAGGAATGACTGACTGAATGTATAGGCTCGATTGCATCGCTGAAGAACGTCAAGAAGGACGTGACCGAAATGCGCAAAGACACGGAATGTGGTATCGGCTTCGAAGGCTGGACCGACTTTGCTGTTGGTGATCACATCCAGTGCTACGAAGAGATCTATGAGAAGAGATATCTCTAATCTTTTCTTTATCTCTATCATTGAGATGACCTGCTCTTCTGTAACCTTGTCTTGGCAGGTTACTGTATTCTTACCTTGTTGATCGCCTTCCCTTCTCTTGTGCTTGGTTTATTAGGCTTGTGATTGATAGACACGGGTTTGGGAGAAGTTGCATATAACTGGAGATTTGCATCTCATGTACAATAGGATATCATTATCTACATAGACTATTCATGACAAGACTACGTCTCTAAAATCTAGTCTCAAGGAAGACGCATTCATTTCGCCTTCCATCTCACCCTTCCCACCCACCTCGCCCAATCCTGCACGTCCTCCCTCTCCATTATCCTCTCGACGGTATAGTACTCCCTCGCCAGCTCCTCGTTACTCGCCATCCGATGCACAAAGCTATGACACGCCCGACACAACCACGCCACACTATTCAGCATCCACTCCTCATGCCACCCCTTCTTGAGCACCTTTGCATGCACCGCACGCGGAATCAGATGGTGATACGAGAGGGGGATCCAGTCGCGCTCGCAGATCTCGCAGGCGTCGGTGCGCGTGGTCGCCCATACCGGCGGCGCGGCGGTCACGCTGGCTACGTACTCGCTCAGCACTGGGGCGAAGAAGTCGGGGACCTCGGAGGGATCGGGGACGAGGCCGTAGACGGAGAGGGAGTCGGTGACGGCGACGGGGATGGTGGCTGTGAGGGATTCGAGGAGGGGCCGGGGGAGCGGGGAGAGGGCGTATTTGGCTGCGAGGACGGAGTCGTGCTGGATGGATGAGTAGGAGAGGGTTTGGAGATCTGATGGTAATGCGGGGAAGGTCTCTGATGCGAGGAACTGTTGCCTCTGTTCAGCGTATACTACCGTGATTCTGTAAGGCGGGACCGTACATCGATGAACTCGGCCAGCTCTTCTGGATTCACCCGAGATGGTAGAGATGAGGAGTCCGTGGAATCAGTACCAGCTCCATCAGTAGCGAGTCTTCTAGTGCCGCGTTTGAATCTCTGCGCTTTTCGCTTCGATGTCCGGTTGGGTCTGCCATTATCAGATCTTTGCACGATTGCGCTGGAGAGACATTCCCGAAAGACCTCGTAATTGCTCCCCTCGTGGGTTCCACGCGAGGTCATCGAGACCGCACAGACGGAGGCGTAGATGTGTCGTAGTTCTGGCAATGCGCGATGGCTGTCCGTAGTTGAAGGTGGTGGAAATGAGCCATCGCCGCCATTGTACTATCAAGAATTGACATCATCGTGCTGTTGTTGCCCCTACGATGCTTGGGACGTTTATCTTCAAAGAGCCTCAAGCAGGTCCATCTCTGCTATCGATCTTTAAATATCATTGATTTACGTATAGTGAAGCGACCTATTTAATCCCAGAAACAATGTCGAGCAGATAAATTGTGATAGCTATCGACATCTATGGCACCGCCCTCTCCCCCCACAGGAGCTCGGAACCAAAGCCCACAAAATTGCGAAAATCTGGAGAGCACTTCAACTTGAATATACCTGGAGACTAAGCAACATGGTAACTTCCCAGGGATATAGCCGGTTTTTACAGTAACCCCCATCGTCTGACTGATCACCAGGACGCTTTGTATCCTTCAGGGAAGTGACAAGAAGCCGCCTCATGCAATCCCTTGCAGAGACAAAGCATTATGGGCAGTACCGATCTCACGAACTTGATCAATGCTCACGACAGCATGACCACCTTTCCGGACTTGAACAAGAGGTTGCGACAAATAGCGGCGGTCCCGAACATGGTGGTCGTCTTCACCAACAACAACCATTCAATGGTCTCCAACGCGATTCTTCGCTCCAAAAACCTTGCAATACACGCAGGCAGTATCCGGGATATCATCTCTATCGATAAGATTGGTCAATTCAAGCCCCCACCGGCGGTCTACCATTATTTGGCGGACAGGATTGGAAAATCTAATGCATTGAAAGACATTTTGTTGGTCAGCGGAAATGCTTTCGATGTCACAGGAGCTTTGAGCGTAGGCATGAACGCTGTCTTTGTTGACCGCGAGAACTGCGGTTGGAAAGACAGAGCAGTGCCTGAATTAGAGCTAAAGGCCGTAGTGAGCAACCTTGGCCAGGTCGCAGACTTTGTCAGCAGCCATTAAAAGATCTATAGTGGGAAATCACGAGCCTGCTCTACTTGATGCAGGAATGTGTAGGCGAATTTGTCCTTTAGTCCATTTCGTACGGCTCCAAAGCCAGTCCAGCAATACAGAAAAGTAATGTACGCTGTCAATATTTCCAAATGCTCCACAAAAGTAAGAAGGATTTGGGGTAAGTCAGCAATCGTTCATCTGACCTCCTATTTCCCCTCCAGGATCCATTGAAGAAATGTGGATATCAGAGTGAATAAGGAGGATGATCAGTTTGGTATGAAAAAGAAAGAAGAAAAAAGATGAAGTCGCGGGAAGAGATTTCTGGTTTTATAGCGTTGATCCTACTGCTTATCGATAACGCTCTCTTGGCATGTTTGAATGGGGCCGTTTGAATAGCATCACATCACTGCTTTCTCCAGGCCCTCTTTCAACTATGATCACAACAAGATTGACCTACTAGGGTATTGGTGTGGCTTTACCTTGGTCACAACCAGAATGAACAGGCTGTGGGATCCCAGCAAAGCTGCTTGGTTATATCCTTTTCGTGTACGTTCGGGCTACTAATCTTGTTGCCTATATATTCGCTAACCCCTTCATGAACATCGTATAGGGGATATATTACTTTGCGTCGCATCGATTTCTATGGCCGCTGTTTCGGGCACGTTTGATACCTATCGTCCTGCTTTCCGCATTCATCTACTTCATCCTCTTTCTTTTCACATATCTGCCACAAGTTGCCTTTCTCGCGATCTTCCAAGGCGCTGGTGCTTGGGTCAATGGTGCATTTCTCGTTCTTGGAGAAGGAGCGGCCATTGTAGCAATACTGTTTGAGGCATTTTTTGTGGACGAGACCTTGGTGGATATCTTTGATGCTGTCCTTGTCAACGAGGGTCATGGCGAGCTCGTCACTACTTCTAGGGTCCTGTATCCCCAGGGCGATGACGTTGTCAAGCGGCTGGGTAAACCGACCCACAGCGCGGTGTATTCGCCATTTTCTCTGCGGCAGATCATCGAGTTCATAGTCTTGTTGCCCTTGAACTTCATCCCCGTCGCAGGCACCCCGATGTTCTTGTTGTTGACCGGTTATCGCGCGGGGCCATTTCACCACTGGCGGTATTTTCAGATGCTGGATCTGTCCAAGAAACAAAGGAAGGAAAGGATTCGTCGACGGCAGCTTCAATACACTACGTATGTACCTTGTCTTGCGCTTTGATCTATTCGACCGATCATTTCTGATTAAGGTCGCAGATTCGGAACGATTGCTCTGATTCTACAGCTGATTCCTGCCCTATCAATGTTTTTCCTCATGTCAACTGCGGTCGGGTCTGCCCTCTGGGTAAGGGACATTGAGAACAAACGTGATGCTTTACGAGGACGGCATGACGGCATGACTAATGAGTATCATGATGATGACAATATAATCTAATCGTTTCACCAGTTTGTGACATATTCCACTGGCCCGGCCAAGTCGAAATTATTGCGGTGCTGATATGGTCCACATGTATGCCAATAGTGAATTGCATTAATTAGAATCCCTTTCAGATCGGACATCCAAGAATGGTCCATGTGGCTTTGATAGTTCTCCGTTCTGGGCAAAGAAGTCTGGTCGGATCATAGATGTTTCGGTATGAATCTGAGGCTTCGAAACCTCACCTCGTCCCATATACCTGTAGCTTTCGATCGAATTTTCTGAGGTTTCAAAGCATGACCTTGTCTCATCAATAGTCTGTCTAATCGAAGTTTATTTGTATTCGACTCCACGAGAGACACACATGTCACGTGAGATGCGCGGCGGTAAAACAGTCCCTGCAGCAGTTACAACAAGGAGTCTCCAGACCAGAGGCTCAGCAGTTGTTAGACTCTCTGGAGGATCTTTGCGCTTGTACAAGTACTTGCAAGCCTTGCTCACCAAGTATCAATTCAGAACAATCAGTACCTAGTCTGTCTGCCAGACTGCCTCATTCTTTGTGCAATACCGATATCGCCTCCACTTTCGGGTAGCCGTTTCATCAGGTCCGAGTCTCCAGACAGCTTCGAACTTTAAACAAAACCATGTCATCGCTTCTACGCGCCGAATCGGAGGGTTCTTGTCTTCATCTTTGATTAATTCCTCTTTACTGTGTCATCTTTCACTTCATGTCCGACAGTGGCTCGCGTGGTGGGGTAGCTTTTATTCATCTTTCAGGGTCCTCGGGAGTAAACACGGGGAGAACTTGAGGTCATACTTGGACATCGTCGCTGTTATTTATTCGACATTCTCGGTTCCCTGAATCTGTGACCCATCAGGAGTATAACCCTTCTTGTGGAGAAAGGATCCCGGAGGTCTGTTGGCATCATAGCATTTTCATCAGGATTGAGTGCCTGAATCCCCCATGATTCCGGCCTGAGGCTTGAAAATGGTAACGAAGTCACTCCGATGTGCCAATGGACCACAAAACCAGACTTCGAAAAGCATGTGATGCTTGTAGTATACGCAAGGTCAAGGAAAGTACTCCTCTCCGATCTTAATTAGAAACCCCAGGCTAATTGATCGGCTAAAGTGTGATACAAGTGGACCACCCTGTCGGTCATGTGCAAGCCTGGACATCCCCTGCACCTATGACAGACCAAGCAGACGTCGTGGTCCTCCGAATCGTCATGCAGAGGCGTTGAAGAAACAGAGACTAGGGGCTTCACCTGGTACTCCTACTACTGCAACCTCTCCCAGTCCGTCAGATATCTCTCCGACGATTCCACCAATACCCGCGGTTAACCAGAATTCCGCATCCACTTCGATTCCATCTTCGGCAGAATCCATCTGCCCTTTGCCCACAGTGCGGCTGTTGGTCGATGATTTCTTCACGTATATCCATCCATTGGTCCCCATCCCTCATGAGCCCTCGTTCCGCGCCGCCTTTGAGCGACGGGAGGACGCCACCAATTCCACGTTTCTGGCCCTCCTGGCCTCGATGATCGGGAGCCTGGTGGCATCCTTCCCAAGGAGACCAAAGCTCCATCTCCAGACCGAGGCGGAGAAAGCGGCTTTTCCCCACTCCCTTGCCTTGGTCAAGCGATGTCATGATGTTGCTGTGCAAGCTCGCGGTTCCGGGTACCTCGATCGGAGCGCCACAGTCTATGACGCTGCCACCAGCTACTTCCTGGGTCTCTGCTCCGGTTATGTCTACAACATCCGGCGATGTCGGATTTACCTTGCCGAGTGCCGGACGATGTTGCATGTGTACGATCTCTGCCGCCAGTCGACGCTGCTGTCGTCCTTGGGTCCAACAAGCCCGAATTCTTCTTCGTCGATCATGTCACAGGATGCGCTCGGTGGTCCCGCTGAGCGCCCAGTGGACCTGGTCGAGCAGGAGCTCGCGCGGCGACTGTTCTATGTGACGCTAGTCGGCTACCGATCAATTCAGCAGATGGGCTCCACTGACACTCCGATCTATCTTCCTCCAGAGACGCCGACGGACCGCTACCCACCGTTACCCCTTGAAGTGGACGACGAGTTCATTTTCAGGACGCATGTCGAACCTCAGCCAGCCAACCGAGTTTCGCAGCTGGTGGGCTTCAACGCCAACGTCCGGGTCTACAGCTCGTACAACTCACTGTCCGCTTGGGAGATTGCGTTCGGCAGCGGTCAAATCTTTGATTGGGAGCGGCAACGGTCTCTACTATTCGAATGTTTGCAGAATTCCAAAGCGGCTTTGGCCAATGTGCCACCGGAGCTATCGCTCCACCTTCACCGGGCCGATCCCGCGGATGCGGCTGAGGATCCCTGGATGCGCAAGCGTCGCCATATCCAGTACGAGATCCAGAAGGCCAATATCTACGCGAGCCAACTGGCCACCAGATCCTACTTGGTGGAGAAGTACTGGAATCTCTACGGCGCCTGGAAGATGTATCACCGATCCTCCGAGCAGGGAGGACCCGGAACTCCCGTGAAAGTGGAAGGCGATGCGCATATGGGGATTGACGATGCCGCCCAGAACGACTACATTGGAAAGACCATGGCAGAAGAGCGCCGGCTCGTCGTTCGAGATTTGTTTGTATTGCTACAGTCGGTCAATGAGGTCAATATGGAGCCCAACGGTGCCAGCTTTGTATGTCTCTGTCCTTGCCGCCCCCCTGGAAACATCACTAACTGTTCGTCAGACCGCTAAGGTCCGCCAAGTCGCGTCAACCCTGCTCAACCTCCCTCACTCCCGGACCGAGACAACCGCCTTTACACCCTCCACCCCGGGTCCCAACCCCATCACCCTCGCCGAGGCAGAATCCTACCTGCACGCCTTCATCGACACCCTCATCCGGCTGGAGGGACTCGCGGCGCCCACCCCGGGCACGGTCGGGACAAGTCCCGACGGCAACGGCCGCAGAATGAGTTATTTGAGCGACCGGGCCCGGGACGACGAGGAGCTGCGCCAGTGGGCGAGTCTGAAGGACTACCAGGCGAAATTCGCCGAGGCGGGCGGCATGCTTTCCGAGCTTTGATTTTCGCTTTTTCCATCCTTATTAGTGTAATAGACCATGGCGGTTAGGGTGTTCGGGCAGACATACTGTATATAATGGGATGAGAACGAATTATCGAACGAAATGACCAAGGTGGTTACTACATCTGGGTAATTATGATTATGTTTTATGGTACACTGCACCTGCCTCTATCAACCCTCAGTTCCAAACACATCAATACATTCCCGAAGCGAAACGAATCAACCAGCTAATTTCCCCGCAGAGTGACAGTCTCCCTCTCCCTCTCCGTCATCGTCTGAGTTACAGTCTCTCTCTCCGTTTTCGTCACAGTCACCGTCTCGGTCTCGGTCTCGGTGGCGGTCACGGTCATCACCCCCGCAGGTGTAACAGGCACAATGGACAACTGGACATCACCCGGATCCCTGAAGGGTACTGTAGCTGTAGCTGTAGCCGTAGCCGTCCCCGTAGGCGTGGCCTTTGAGCCCGAGCCCGCCTCCGCCTGCGCGGCACTGGCAGCTGGGGCTTCAGCCGTAGGAGTGTTGGAAGCAAACACAACCACACTCTTGGTTATGGTTGCTGTAGCGTGGATTGTGGTTGTCTCCTCTGCTTCGGTAGGGCCAGGGCCAGGAAGGGGACCAGACGGATCTGCGTCTGGGTCTGGCTGCGTTGGTTCTGCGCCCGGTGTAATCAGGACAATCACCGGTGTGAGGACGGGTGTGGCGCTAGCGATCTGGAGCTGACTGCTTGTAACTTCTCCGATGGATGGGGCTGGTGTTGCGGAGTTGGATGTACTTGTACTTTCGGCTGTACTTGTGCTCTGCGTCGTGGTAGGTGTGGTTTGTGCGCTGGAGGTGCTACGGATCTGGCCTGCTGACTCTGTGGGCGTAGTGTCTGGTAGGGAGGATGCAAAGAATGCTGTTGAAGAGGAAGAAGCGGTGGTTGGATCTGCCTCGGGTAGCGGCCCTACCACGCCGGCAGTCAAGCTGGACGTCGTGGTCTCGGTCACCGTTGGCGCTGGAGAAGTAGTTTCTGGGAAAGACGTTGCAAAGGAAGTAGTTGAAGAAGACGAGCTGGTCGTCCCGGCATCAGACAAGGGGCCAACCACACCAACGGTCAGACTGGATGTCGTGGTTGGTGCGCTTGCCGGGGCTGAGCTTGGTGAGATGATAGCGATTGAAATAGGCGTAGATGTGGAAAGCTTAGGTGAAGATACTGCCGTCGGACGGTTCTTGATAACAGGAATCGAGCTTGAGGTTGTAGACTTGGGTACACTCGGAGTCGACACTGAGTGGGACCCCGAATGAGAGTGAGAAGTGGTCGAGACGACGCCCTCAGATGACTCCGACGAAGACAGATTAGCTCCTGCAGACAACGAGGGAGCGATCGCAGACGAATGCTCTTCCCCTGCAAGTGTGGAAGAGCTGGGAATCTCGGTAGAGCTAGACGTATCATGGTCCACTGTTGCATGAGAACTGTACGCTGTAGACGAGGGCAAAGTAGCCTCTGCAGAGAACAACGGGGTAACTGCCCCCGAGTGCCCCTCCGCCGGAACCATCGAGGATCCAGGAATTTCAGTAGAGGTATATGAAGCCTGTGGCACCGCCGCCTGAGTACCATCCGCCGTCACGGAAGGCGTGACGGGAACAACATCCAGACCACCATTGGCTTCCTTAGAAGCCGCTGGCACATGTATGCCGAGTGATGACGGGCTGGAATATGCAGTAGGTCCAGGATTATGGCTGTTTTGTCCCAGATCTCGGATCTTGGGGGTAAACTGGGAGATCGGGCCAGCCGAGCACGTTATGGCGAAAAGAGCGAGCGCGATGGTGGGGTGAATTACCTGCATTTTGACGATATTAGAGTATGAGAATCTGAAAATATCTATGACAACTGCTGCGGACTAAAGAAAGTATGCTTGATGAAAAATGAGAAGACTGAAAGAGTGGATGGACATTTCGTGCGAGGAGCGTGACTCGTACTAGTTGAGCATCATGGTGAACAGAAGGAGATCAAAAAGGAAGGAGAATAAAGAAAGCGACGGAAATCAGTAGAGAGACAGACTAGCCAAGTAACAATCTCCTGGGAGACAATGGAGGTTATAAGAGCATTGAGGCTTCCATGGCGACTGGCGACAGAAACCCTTATGTTGGGCTGCAGAAAGCTAGCGTCTGGACCATTGTTAGATTATTGTGGTATGGCTAGGGACAGACAATCCTGGCTTGAAGAACCCACATCTAGATGCATTATTGTGGATCTTCTTGATTGTCTCAGGGCTCGACGGCAAAGAGAGATGGTTGGTAGTTGAGACAAGGATGGATGGCGCGCGACAAAGAAGCGCTTGAAGGTGTTGCAGGAACCGCCGACTCTGTGAGTCTGCAGCGGATCATTGGCAAGGGTGACTCAGCTGGGTCTCTTTAAATAGACGAGATTATTTAAAGATCCTTTGATCTGGCCATTGGAATGAAGGGAAGCTGGTTTCTTTGAGGATCTATGCGTTGCCATTTTTACAGGTAGCCATTGTTGGCTTGGAGCCTCTTGATGACTGCGAGTCCGGCCTGTCAATCATCTTGTTGATTCGTTGACTATCATAGATTCATCTTCATAACTCGTACCAAAAAACAATAAAGCTAATGATTGATCCTTCACATGCATCATACGACATGTCAGTCCAGGGTCACCGTGAATGACTCGCCAATGCCCTCAAAAGACTTGATCTTGCCTTGGATATTCTTTGCGTCGCCATAATAGTGGAAGCGATACGTTCCGGCCTGGAGCGCCTTTGGGTCGCCCACGTTGTAGTAGTCATCCTCAATCTGCCATTCGAGGGTCACCTCACTGTATCCCAGGATAGTATTGGTCCGTTCCCAACGGTAGAGCAGGTTCCAGTCATTGTCAGTACGCACCACTTCCCACGTGCCTGAGTCGGGATTGCGCCGCTCGACTGCTGCAAACGTAGATTCCTGACGCAGGTTGTTTCGCGGATTGGCTCCGACGAATGTCGTGCTGACGGTCTCGCCAGGCTTGTATGTGGTCTTGGCTACCGAGGTGACCACGTCACCAAATGATTTGCCAATGGGAGCATTGTCGTATACGACTGACGTGATAAAGCTCAGTGATTTGTTGGTGTTGATGGGCGGCTGCAATCCGGTGGGCATCTCTGGTAAAGTGGCCGTGTTGGGCGAATCGCCTAGATAAGGGAGATAGGTAAGGGTCAGATTGATGTATGCGGCGAGCGTGTTCGGCCCGTAGAGGGTAGAGGCACCCTCGTAGCGTTGCCTACTATATTCTTCCTCTGTCGCAACGTAATGAGCGTAGCTATTTGAAGGAGCCCCCAAAACGACCAAGGGACTGTCAATGGAGAGAATGTCTTTGGCTGACTTTGCAATGGCCTCTTTCCAACGCCGTCCAGACATGGTCGTGGCCTCACTCGTAGAGATGATGAGGAACAGCTGACCTACTCGGAGGACCTGGATGTCCACAATATTCGGCTCCCACGCATACGGCTCCGTGTTTGCTCCCACGTCCAGGAGGATATCCTTGGGCGCCTGACACGCCTGCTGTTCCGCCGATGGCTGATGAACAAACGCTCGAGCGACATACCACAGCGGGTTGGACTCGGCGGGCCCAGAGCTGTTCTGTGTGAAATCAAATAGGCCAGGTCCGTCCGTCGTACCGCCTGCGAAAGAGAAGCCCAGTGCCGCCGAGCACGTCGTCAGCATACTAGAATTGAATGGCGACTGGAATGTGTAGCCAGCAAGATCGCGGTACGCGTGAAAGGAGCGAACATTAGAGCTTCCAGCGATGCGAGTGTTACTCGCATCCATCTGGCTATACAACTCCTTGGCCGCGGCGTACTGAAGTCGTCCGATCTCGAAACAGCTCTTCGCACCGTTGTCCTTTTCACGAAAGAAGGGCCCGCGACCATGGCAGTCCTCGGTCTTGCCACCACAGGTGCTGTCGCTGTAGCGGCACATCTGCCCCGATCCATCCTCACACCACGCGCCCAGCACATTCGGACTCGTGTCACCCACGTTGGACTGAGAGAACCCGGCTACGAAGTCGTCGGCGAAATTCGCGTCGTCCTGGACGCTCCGCTCAAAGAGCCAGGCGGCGACGCCTTTGTTATCTCCTGTAGTGAGAGTATTGTTGTTGTAGAGGGAGGTGCCGTGCACCGGAAAGAAGGTCAGGATGGCCGTGGTCTTGTTGTCCGACTCTCTGTCGAATCGCAACAGGGTCATCGTTTTATCTACGTTGGCCGAGTAGCGGGCTTTCTCTTCCTCCGGATTGGCGTCGTAGGAATAAGGACTTCGGTTGATGTTTGCATTCTCGATATCGATGGAGCCGAAGCTCAAGCGACCGGGGGCCAAGCTTTCATGAGCGCGTTGGATGGAGAGGACCACGCCGTCAACGATAGCCTGATAGCTCTGCTTATCGAACCCCTTGCTAGGGATCTGCGGAAGTAGATAGTTGTTCCAGGCACCAGGCCCTGAATGAGAGTGCGTCCCAGTCAACGCGACATTGCGCTCGCCGTATCGCGCATAATCAGCTCCCAGATTCGCGAGCGCCTGGAGGACTCCATGCCGCACGGCAGTGTCACCCGTCAGCGAGTCGATGACGAGATAAATAAAGGTGTCGTCTGGCTGATTTGGATTTGCGAAGATGAAGGCGCGGGAATAAATTCTCTGTCGAAGACCGGTGCCAATCTGATCCAGCATAGCATATCCACCAAGGGCTACCTCCACCACCGGGCTATCACCGTAGAGTCAGCGGGATGTTCATTCATAACGAAGAATCACAGCATGGAGCAAGAAACAATTATCAGTACCCAGTGATGTCTGCCTTTCCAGCCCCCAGCAGAAAAACACTATCATCGGAGACCTGATCTGCCGCCCTGTGTTCCCATCTTGATCCCTTGCCAACGAAGCTGAAGCTGGGCGATGGATTGTAGGTCTGCACAATAGACAGCAGCTGCAACAGTACAAGAGCTGTCACAAGTGTCCCGGCAAAGGCCACTCCGAGTTTGAAATTCGCCATGCTTGCAGACGAAACTGTGTGGACAGTCCAAGCTCAGGTTATGCGGGTTGTGATGACATCAGAAAGTATGCTTCCGTTTGTTGCTTTTCCAGTTTCCCAGAGGAATCGCGGTCTTCTTATCGATCGAATCACATTATTATTCTCCGAACGGCCTCACAGTGTTCAAGCAAAGGCCAGATAGGAACAGGATTGACCTCGTACAGCAACGCAGCGCATGACCAGCAGATCGACAGGCCCTGCAGCAGAGGGTAGCATCGCTTGTGGCCGTCGTCACGCTGCCATCCTTTGCTGCCATCCTTTGCCGCTATACTCGATCGGGTACCTGTTCGTTCATTCCCCGCTTCAAAAATATATAATGTGCAATGCGCAGAAGATGGCATTTATTGGAGGTGATCTGATGGTATCGTGATGAGTGTTTATCAGTGGGTCATTTATGGTTGATGGAAAATCATATGTGGGACTGTGGAGGTGTGTCACTATATTCGTCAGACGGAGATACTTCCATTTCAAGCTATCAGTATACATCCTGAATCCTAGGCTTGGGCTTGTTTCTATAGTTCTCTATATTTCAATTCTTTAGGACAGTTGACAGGCTCAGAATTAGATTGCATTTGCATGTGATGCTATAACAGGGCCGTGACAAACCAAGAAGGTGAGCAGTATGCACTCTTAGTAGCTTATGTATCTCCTGGCAAAGCTATGAATATGATACAGCAAGAGATCCCCTAGCAAAATGCCCTGCTTCTCAGGCATCCAAGCACCAAGCATCCTTACCTTTTTTAGGCAGTCCACCAGGCAACACATGAGCCGGCTTTATCTTCTCCAGTCAACCAGCCGGGGTCCGGTAGTGCAGCGGCATAACGCCTGCAGGAGTCTTCGATTCACCACTTCTGCAGACCAGTAGTCTGCACTCCTGCGACCCCGGTTCGAATCCGCCTCTGCTCGTTTCTCCTGTCAATAATTTCAACGAAACGAGCATGGGGCGGTCCCAACAACAGTCCCTCTTCATTTCCACCCATCTAATACTGTGGAGATGCAGGAGGGAGACTGGGCGGGGTGGGGAGGCAGTCTGCGACTGCCTCCGCAATCCGTTTTGCTTCTCGGCTTCATTTCCCTTGCTTTTTTCTTCCTGGGCATTCCAGCCAGCTCTCTTTGTATATTCGTTGACAGATCATTGACGTCGTGGTTCTTAACTCCAGATCATAGATCTATGACCTTACGGAAACTGCCAACAGTTTATTTCACTGTACTGATGGCCCATCCGCGGCACGATGTATCTGAAGATTGTTAGCTCTCGAAGCACAATGATATTGGCCAGCAAGCTTTCCATAGTCCAGCTAGCGCAACCTGACAGTGATCAACATCGTCAACGTAGTATTAAATATTGCGGGGTATGATCATTGACCGCGGCGAGACAACACCGACGCACATACGAGGCGCATGTACTTCCCATATCACCTCATATCAAGCTGGCTCGGCTTATCATCTGAGAGTGAGCCGTGCTCATTAGTGACCTCCGATAACCAAGGAATGACAAGCCTCGGAGCTTCATATCCTATCGCAGACAGTGAATGTCCTGCTGACTTGGTTTAATATAACACCCAGCGAGAGGTACTCGACATGATGTCATTCAATATAACCTGCAGATACTACCAATGCCTGGAGATATGAAGATAGTCGTTTCAGTCGCCGTGCATAGTTGACTTTGATATTGACCTTGCAAGGTGAGACATCGACAATATGCATCGACCTCGGACGGACGTCGGTCTTGATGACAGATATCACTGCTACTGATTATTTCACCGTCATAGTGATAACTGATCCTTGAAAGCTGTTCTTCATCGCGTACGACGAGATGTTCGGAAGCACTGGCTGTGGAGGAGGAATCCGCTGACTAAGCATGTCCGGTCTCACCGCCCAAAACAGTAGCGAAAATGATGCTTCTGTGTTTCGTCGCAGCTGATTGAAAGCAATCATCGCAGAATAATATCACCAAGGCATTCTCCAACAAAATATTGAGATCCAAATTGTTGTCGATTTCTTTGTCACAAAATGCACCTCATCAACGAATCCCACGATTCCCTCCCTTGTAAGTCTCCTCAGTCTGCCACACGACTTTCCGGCCATAGCTCCTGACCTCCTGACCAGACATCGACGCCGAGCCATCTGCTCAAGCACGCGCAGCTGCACAGCAACTTATCACAGCAGAGTTACCCACCGACCACGCCTCGACTCTTCATCCCGCCATCCCCGAGCTCCCCGAACCGCGTTTCACTCCCCTGATACAGCAGGAGATCGACCGCAAGGCCGCCGGGTTGCCCTTGACCGGTGGAATCGACCTGTCACGCTACGAGGCACCGGAGCCGCCTGCCCGCGCGACGGACGGAGAGACCCCCGATCTGGATGAATGGCGCCGCACCCTGCAGAAAGCGTACACCGCCAGCTCCCATCTGTCCATGCGACACGAGAATCTGGCGCTGCTGGAGGAGTACGGCAAGAACGCGTGGCTGATTGGCAACTCCCAGCTGGAGGATATTCTCCGGGGTCTGGAGAAGGAGTTGGCCGAGACCAAAGAGGCGGCGGAGGCGGTGAACAAGCAGAGGAAGATTGCCCAGGAGGCCAGCCAGGGCGAGCTGGTGAGTCTGGAGGAGACGTGGAAGCGAGGAGTCAGTGCCATCCTGGACGTGGAATTGGCCTCGGAGGGACTGCGGTTGCAGATTCTGGAGCAGAGACGTCGGCTTGCTCAGCAGCAGGCGCGGTAGTGGCCACGTCGCACGAATCGTTATTGTGCAGCAAGTGGGGTTTCCACTTGAGTCACTCTGTTTATGACTGGATTGGAGCCGGTACAAGAGGAAGTCTGGCGAGGCATAGCTTCACCGTCTCACGTGCCTCTCCTTACTATGGCCGGTTTCGCGTCAGAAAATACATCCAGCAGTCGCTTCTCATCGGCTCATAAGGCGAACACACCAAGCCCGCATAGTGGCCTGCAGAAAAGCGCTGGCAGGCCCATCTGGTGCCCGGAATCGAGCGTCAGCCACGTTGTTACGACCAAGAGTGTCATGTTGATTGGCACGGCTGCCCCAGTGTCACCATTCAGAGCATTTACGGCAACGAGTGACGCACCTCCTTGAAGGCTACCAATCTTGCAAGCCCGGTGACAGTCCAGCGAGTCTTGGGTACTGTCCACATGGAGTCGCCGTGGAAAGACAGCCCTGAAGGAACGGTCAATCGGTCATCCAGTGACGAATTTCATACACTTTGTCTCCCTAGGATGTAGTCGAGGTCTAGACAGGATTTTGATGACAAGTGGCAATTCATATACTATCCGTCAAGATCAGATTATGATGTGCTATCGGAGAATTACAGCCCTAGAAGTAGTCTAGCACGTAAGCCATGCAAAGCAGACTATATACCACTACACGTGCGAACCCATTGCCACAGGCAGATATACCATGTCCCAAACACTACTTACTTGGTCACAACTTCTTCGAAGGAACCACCAAATTCACATCCGCCCCCTTCCCCCGAACCGCAGCAACGGTCTCCTCCCCCGCACTCCGATTCCACTCAAGCACCTGCTTGCACATCCCATCCAGCGTCGTGAAGGGCGCAAGATAGCCCAGCCCCCCGTCGGCGGGGGCCCTGCGCGCGCGCGAGTCGTCCGCGAAGGTATGCACGTCGGAGATGGCGAACAGAGCGGGCTGGAGATCCGCCAGATCGCCCGTGATCTTTGGCAGGAGACGGGGCAGGCAGAGGTGCTGGAGGAGGGCGTAGCATTCCAGCAGGTACGAGAGAAGAAGGACGGGGACGGGGGCGACGTGCGGGAAGCGCAGGGGGGTCTTTGCGAGGGTGGTGAGGAGGAGGTAGATGTCGCTGAAGGCGATGGCCGGGTTGGGGTCGGTGACGGCGAAGGCCTGGCCGCCGATGTTGGGGAATTGCGCGGGGTTCGCGGTGTGGTCGAGCAGGCGCTGCTCGTAGAGGAGGTGGGCGAGGGAGACGTTTTCGGCGTTGACGAAGCTTTGGATGACGGGGTAGGTCCAGCTGTTTTTAACGGAGTTAGGCTGCAGCAACAGGGAAGGAAAAGGGGTGCGGATGAATACCTTGGGGCTCCGCCCGCGAGCAGATACCTGCCCGTGATGGTGGTGTCGCCGACGCCGTAGATGCCGTTTGTGGGTCGGATGCAGCCCGTGCGGAAGTTGGATTCGAGGCTGTCGGCGGCGCGGACGATGCGCTCGGCCTCGGCTTTGGACACGGCGTAGTTGCCAAAGAACTGGTCGTGCTGCTTGGGCGTCTCTGTCGCGTCACTGAGAATCTGGACGACGCCCTTGGGCCACTTGGTCCAGGGCGCGATCCAAAACGATGGACGGCGGAGGACCACGGAGCCGGACGAGGTCGACACGAAACAGCTTGCGCCGTGTTGCTTTGCCGCGGTCAGGACGTGCCTGGTTCCATCGACATTGACCCTGGTGCAGAACTGGAGAAAGGCCTTGTGTCACTCTCCGGGTCTGATAACAGCGGCATTGTGGAAGACGGTCAGTGGAAGGCTGGCGACCTCTTGCGGCCACGGTTGCGCGAATGCAGCCTGAACGGCCCTTCCATCGGTGATATCGATCTTGACAAAGGCCACTCCCTGGTCCAGGATTTGCTGACGGGGCGACTGAAGATCCAGGACGCGAATGGCAGTTGGGTCCTCGCCGCGAGCAAGAAGATGCGTTACGATCCAATTCCCAACAAGTCCTGAAATTCATTAGCAGTTGCCTTGGATCAACTTGTGGGAGTTTGCATGGTGCTAGACAAGACATACCTGCTCCGCCCACAACAATGTATCGTCTATGTTGCTTTGGAGGAAGGCTCTTGCTCACATCTACTGGGGACTCAATTGCCTTTCGATAAGCGTCCTTGATTTCCTCAACGGTCCAGCGGCGAGGAGATAATAGACGAGCTTCCTCTGGGACTTGAGTCATTCCTCGGTTGACGTGGTAGAGGTAGAGGACGGCCAGGCCCGCAACTGAAGCGGCGAGAAGCGTGGACGACATTTGGCAGGTCGGCAAGCTCAGGCGAACCGATTCGTCTGGTTCGAATTATAGGTCTATAGCAGTATCACCTGATCGACCGGTCCGTCTGACGATTTATATGAAACAAAGCGAACAGCAACAGCCCGACAGCCCGACAGCCAACAGTGACCTAGTCGCTCGTGGAAGGCGCTGTAGGGACGCAGACGAGTCCTGATTGAAGTCGTAGCTCTCAGAAATCCATCAACCCCATGCTGAGACGTCCAGAGACCCAGGGAGCAAAGCACAGATCGAGAAATGGTGCTGAGGTCGAAATCATGTTGATTACTCTAGCCTACTTCAAGGCCACCGAAGCGATCTGGTTCGAGACTTTTAGTCGCTTCGGTTAGACGAGCGACAAGCATCTGGCCCGCGTGATCCATTTTTAGGGTGCGACTGGATCTTGACCTTTTAATCATCATGAATAGTGAACGAAGGATGGTTGTGATGAATTCGGAAGAGATCAAATATGCTTCAGTCAAGCATCCGAGTAGAACGGATACTCTTTGTAATTCTATTGTCGAGTGTCAATTGCATTTTGCAACAGATGGTGAGTGGGGACTGGAGATTCCGCTCCACAGACTACGGAGTACAGCAGTATGCTTGCCCCTTAACATTCTTTCTGAAGGACTGACACAAGGGAACATATTCTATGTCTATGATTCTGATGCCTGCCTGAGGTACCACCAGATACTTATCTAGAGTACTCGAGAAGGACAAGATAGGTAGAAATTACAAAGACAATGCTGATTGGTGGGATTAGAATTCTGTGGGGAAATGGATCGCTTATAGAGTTTTCTTCCTTTTGAGGTGGAGTATTATTATTTATGCCTTATTGCCTGAGTCTCCTGAAATCGGCAAACCGGCATCGCGGCAAACCGGAACCAGAGTCGAGCATTCTGAGTGGACAAAGTGACCAGACCCTGTCATCTCTCGTGCCAATCGACGAATCCCTCCACGGACAAAAGGCCGAGTACGGAGTAAAAAAGAGTCACATAATCATTCTCCCCCAGTCCCCCTTCAAGATGGAGTATGGACTGTGGACTGTGGACTGCGGATTGTGGAGTGTACGTATTCTGGAATCCGGATGTCTGGGGTCATCGATAACCTTCTTTTGATCTCAGTGGACTCTGGAGTATCCTGTCTGGACAGTTGGTAAGCGAATTCTCTCATTCTTGTTCTTGCTATCACGGAATTCATTCCGAGCTCAATTTGCACCATCACATATCCACCACTGCCACTTGGACGATGATCAATCACCCCATCTCCAGAGTTCGTACATACAGCACGCATCTTGGCTATCAGTCCCGTGGACGTCTTGACTCGGTTTATTCCTAGCTAGTTATCTACTCCAGGCTGGATCCAATTCAAGCCATGGATTCTGTTTCGACCATCCTAGACCATCCTACGCGGGGGCCAAGTAGTTCCCGCCATTATCAACCGAAACTATAACGTCCAAGCCTCGGTCTCCGTCCGTCTAGCAAGCAGATAGCCTAGGATCTAGATACGTAGCATTTGAGGTTGAACGCTGCAGAAGTAGATATCTCTACTGCCTAGTCAGAATGATCTGGTATGTCCCTAAATCTAATCTTATTCTAGAACAAGTCAACCCGTTAGTCTATCTTTCGGTATATCCATCATCGTTCTCGACTCGTTTCAGAGCCTAGACGATGATCGTCCTTATCACTCTAGTCTTCTTCTTCTTCTAGTCTGCATGACTGTTTCTACCTGAGGCCCCACCGGCCCTTTTCCCCTACCACTCATCGTTCCAGTCGCTTTTAGTCCAGCGAGATTATAATGTCAGTCATTCCTCTTTGACTGCTCTCTCTCAAATTCCGTCTGTCTCTCCTGTCTGTGTTAAGGTCGAATTGTGCATCACTGCTGCATATTGCTTCATTCGCCTGCACATAAACCTCAATACCTTCTGCTCCATTCTAGCACAGGTTGACTCTTCGCAAATTATAGCCAGGAAGATCATACTCAGAAGATATTGGCCAGAGTATGAGTGCTTGAAACTATATAACCAAAAGAATCCATATTGGCGGCAGTGCGATATACCCAGCTCTCGGACACCCCCATGTTAGCTTGAAACAGGAGCGCAATCCCAACCAAAAGGCAGACTTAAAAAAAAAAAACAGAACCAGTCGCCATCACCTCAGTCAGGTGGATGAAATGTCGCATCCAGAGGCGTCAAACCCCCAGAAATGGCCCGAGCACAGTCAGGAAGAAGCCATGCCGGCAGACGTAGAGTCCATCGGCGGGTCAACCACCTCCGATGATACAATCGACCAACTGGAAGCACTGCGGACGCTGAATACACGAGCATCACGACTGTCAGAGCCGTCTCTGACGAGAAGAGTGACCTCGATCGGTACCACTGGCACCACGGATCCCAACTTCGAGGTCGACTATGAGGGTGACGACGATCAAGCAAACCCGAAGAATTGGTCGCTCCGATACAAGGCTATGGCTGTGGCGTTTTTGTCCTTCAACACATTGGTTGTGTGAGTGTGTCGGCTCGTCGTTTTGGAGGAGAAGCAAGTGACTCACTCGTTCCCAGTGTCCTCTACTCGACTTCCTACACCTCTGGCGTAGCGGTCATCGCATCCGAGTTTCACACGTCGGAGACCATTGTCACTCTGGGCTTGACCTTCTACCTGGTTGGCCTAGCCATCGGGTCGATGTTCATGGCTCCAATGAGCGAAATCTACGGCCGCAAGCCGGTCTCCATCGGCTGCCTGTTTATTTTCACCGTCCTGATCATCCCCTGTGCGCTCAGCAAGTCCGTCGAGGCACTCATCATCGTCCGCTTCATTGGCGCCTTCTTCGGTAGTGTGATGATCTCTAGTGCTCCCGGTATGGTCGCCGATCTGGTGCCAGACGAGAAGCGAGCCCTGGCCATGTCCATCTGGAGTATTGGTCCTGTCAACGGCCCAGGTCCGTTGTTGCCCGCCTGCTGCACGATTGCATTGTAGAGCTGACTAGAGCACTAGTGCTGGGCCCGATCATTGGTGGTTTCGTAACGCAGTATCTGGGTTGGCGGTGGATGGACTGGATTGCCCTCATACTGTCTGGAGTTGCTCTGATCCTCTCGTGTATCATGAGAGAGACATATAGCCCTGTCATCTTGCAGAAGAAGGCGGCCAAACTCCGCAAAGAGACCGGCGAATCACGCTGGTGGAGTCGGTATGACCAGAAGATGAGTCTGGGCGAGCTCTTGAAGCTGAACCTGGGTCGTCCGTTTGTCATGGCGGTCACCGAACCCATTTGGTGAGTTGGCCCTCTGCACATTAGGTTCAATGACTGACATCGACAGTATCTTCTGGAACATTTACATCGCCATCGTGTACGGCATTCTCTACCTCTGTTTCACCGCTTATCCGATCGTCTTCCGGCAGATCCGCGGCTGGTCCCTGGGACTCTCCGGACTTGCCTTTGCCGGAATCGGCATCGGCTGCCTCATCACCATCGCCTGCGAACCGCTGATCCGCCGCATGATTAACAGCCACAAAATCGACCCGGAAACGGGCAAGGTATCCCCCGAAGCCATGGTGTCCATCGTCTGCATCTCGGCCGTCCTCATCCCCGCCGGCGAGCTCTGGTTCGCCTGGACCTGCGCCCCGGCGTCCATCCACTGGGTCGTCCCCATCCTTGCAGGCATCCTCTTCGGCGCCGGCAACACGGGCGTCTTCATCTACGCGTCCAACTACCTCGCCCAGAGTTACGGGGTGTACGCCGCGTCGGCCATGGCGGGTAACTCTGTCATTCGGAGTATCCTGGGCGGTGTGTTGCCCTTGGTGGGCTCGTATATGTACGCGGGGATCGGGCCCAACTGGTCAGGGACGCTGCTGGGATTGCTCGAAGTGGCCATCATCCCGATTCCCATTGTTTTCTACAAGTACGGGTACAAGATCCGCCGGAAGAGCGCGCTGATTATGCGCATGCAAAAGGATCAGATGCGGTTGGAGGGCAAGCGGAAACGACTGGTGCAGCGCATTGAGGCCAGCGCGACGGCTGAGCCGGTGAAGATGGAGGTTTAGTCTTCCCAACACAATGTTTAGGAAAAGTGATTCACGAGAGTTCGGTTTAATCCATGCATAGAGGCGCATATTTCATTCAGCATAGCAGAAAACCTAATATGACTTATGTTTAATGATCAACAACCACAACAAACCAAAGCCAGAAAAGACTCACAGACAGTTGCGTTCAATCCGGCCTCAAAATCCTCCGCTCGACTTCCAACGCATCCCGCAAAACCCTCTCGTACTCGCCCAGCGCAACCGCACCCGCTGAGAAAACCATCACAGCCTCCACATACACCGGACTCGACACCCTCAGCTTGCGGAGGGCATCATGATCAGGGCCGTCCGAGCCCCAGCTCCTCACATAACCCACAACATGGACCCAAGCCCCGACACGCAGTTCCTCCGCCGTCACAGATTCCAGAACCGCGTTGACATCGACAGCCACAGAGGCGCGTTCTGTTCCTGCGTTGGCGGAAAATCTACAACGGGGATAGTTGTGTTCTAGGACTAGGTGGCCTGTGGGGATGTTGTACGTTCTCACGCTGCAATGTGTATCAGCTAAATTACGGTGTGTAGACATGTCAACAGTGATAGAGGAGACTGAAGTCGAGGCAAATGCATAGTTGAGACGCACCAACCGAGAAAGCGAACTTTGGAGCCTGTCGGGAGAGAAGGGAGGTCGGAGAGAAAGGCTCGGGTGGAGGGAAGGGGGCCGTTCATCCCTCAGTGATCTTACAGCCAGAACATTCTCACTATGATCTGAGGATATTCGACACAATAGTCGATTCTTGAAGGGGATGATGGGGATCTGTAGAAGAGATACCACGTGACGGCCCACCTCCGATAGGCTTAGCGCGTATGTCATAGGATCTTCTGCCGTGACGAGGGGAATCATCTCTCTCTGCCTCTGCCTGGAATTACACATGCTTGTTATCGCCCTTGTTGACTGCACCAGGCAAC